TGTGTAGGAGTGCTAAGGAGGGGTTCGGGGTTATCAAGATTTTGCTTATTTCAGAGATTAATTGAAAAGTAGTATTCCAGAAGGATCTGAGTGACTTACATGACCAAAGGATATGTAGTGTTGAGCCTGGCTCACCACATTGTCTCCAGCATGTAGGAGACTGTTTTGGGTAGTAGATGGAGAGTTTGACCCGGGTAAGGTACCATTGGTGGAATATTTTTAGATATGACTCCCAATGGGAGCTGCATCGGGTAGCTTTATAGGTGATGTTGAAGGTATTTTCCCAGCATTTTAAAGTTATTTTCTCTGATAGGATTTCTTACCAGTTGGTTAGGGAGGTTGTAGAGTAAATTGTAAGTTTATGAGATATGTATAAAAAAGTGGATACCTTTGCCTGGGTATTGAGGTTTGGTGAAGAAGATGAAGGCTGTAATTGGTATCATAGTGGTGTGGGGTAAGATAGATGTTTGTAGACAGTGAGCAATTCTTAGGTATGTAAAGTTTTCAGTAGTAGGGAGATTATATTTGGTTTGGAGAATTTGGAAGGGGCATATAGATTGATTGATATAGAGGTCTGTTATATTGGCCAGACAGAATTATATCCACTGTTATCACTAAGGGGTCTATGTATAAAAACTTTGCTGTGCAAATGTGTCAAAAACATTCACAGTCTCAACAAAACGTGTTGTATTTTGTGTAGTATAATTATCTTCTAAGATGGTAATCACCATCTAGTGGCCATAATGTTTTTTTTTTTGTTCCTGATCGAGGTATTTAAAAATAAATACCCCATTTAGATCACTATGTGGTGCTTTTGATCATAAGAGATAATTATTTTACAAAATATGCAAAGTTTTAAGGGGGCTGTGTGAGTGCATGACGTACTTGTACAGTAAAGTTTTTTTACATAGACCATTTAGTGTTTTATTCAAGAAATAAGGAGATGTAACTTGCTGCCTTGTATTGGCTTTGAAATGATTACACTCCTATGTAGTGAAAGGGATGAGCCCAACTATAGCACAGATCATACGCCCATAGATACCAAAAGTGCCAGATTTGCCAGGACAGTCCCACATCTATGAACTGTGCCCTGATGATGCTGTGTCCTGAGATCACATTGTAGCATCACCCTTGTTTGAATTACTGAGGATATTACTCATGGCTTTGAATGGGAGGTTTACAAATAATTGGATGTGATACCAATGTGGGTATGATCTGAGTGGAATCACCCATTAAGGATCTGGGGGGAATGTTGGGAAGAAGGGTGTGGTTTGGGTGGGCCAAGGGTGGTGGTGACAGTATCCCGGGGACTGGAATAAATGTTGGCAAGTATGTACAGCACACAAAACACAGGTCACACACAACATATCCATATCACAAAGACTACTCATCACAGCAGAACAGATCACAAAGAGCACCCACAGCATACAAAGCAGACAAGGAGGACAGTACATACTGACACACAAGACTCTTGGAGCTCAGCAGATTTGCAGCCCACGCAATACACATAGGTTGAAAAAAGTCCATCTAGATTAGCCAATGGAAAAAAAAATATATAGAAAACCTCCATAAACAGAAACGTAGACCAACAATTGATCCAGACGAAGGCAAACAAACCATGTCCAGCATGGAAAGAAAATTCTTCCTGATCCCCTAGAAGGCAATCAGATATTCCTTGGATCAACTACCCCGATGTTAAAAAAAAAGCACAGACAGAGTACAACCACAGTACAGAACACACACAGCACACATTGCTCCCAACATACAAAGAACAAAATATAATCAGCATATAGGGAAGCAATCAGGGCTAGAAACCACGGGGCCCAATACAGCCAACCTGACAGGGCCCCTCTCCAAATAAACCCAGTTTACTATGCTTCAGTTATGAATTAATACAGTAAGTGATTGGTACTGATCACTCATTGTGTTCATTCAAGAAAGGAAGTGGCTGGTAAATGTGACATATTTACCAGACCCTTCCCCCCACTTTCCATCCTGAAGGATCTTATTGTGTGCTTGCAGCTGCTGGTGGAAAAGAGAGGAAGGAAGTCAACAGCACTGTGGGGGTGGGGGCACATGGGGGGCCTGGGCAGCAGGGGGAAACATATGATGCAGAAGGGAGGGTGATGGGTGTGAGATGGGGGAGCCATTACTGGAACCTGGCTCTCTGCAGCAGCTGAAAGCCAGCAGAAGGGAGAGAAGACAGCTTTCAGCTGCTGTAGAGCGAGCCATACAGGGGATTGGTTCCCCTCCCGCCATGCTGGTCACCCTCCCTGCCCACATCTGATTCACGCAGCTGCCTGAGCCCCTCTGCTGGCCTGGGCCCCATACTGGAGGAGTGGTGGTACCACCTTATCCACAGCCCTGGAACCAGTTCACAAAAAAAAAAAATCAGAGAACTGGAGAAAGTGCAGAGAAGGGCAACCAAAGAGGCATGGAATGGAGGAGTTCAGCTATGAGGAAAGATTAGAGGAACTGAATTTATTCTCTCTTGAGAAGAGGAGATTAAGGGGGGATATGATCTCCATGTATAATACATAAGGGGGGATATGATCAACATGTATAAATACATCAGTGGTTCATATAGTGAACTCGGTGTAGAGCTATTCACCTTGAGGTCATCACAGAGGACAAGGGGGCACTCTTTATGCCTGTAGGAAAATAAATGTAACCTTCAAATATGGAAAGGCTTCTTCACAATAAGAGCTGTGAAAATGTGAAAAAGACCCCCTTAAAGTGGTTGTAAACCTCAGTCATGAAATCTGAACAAAGCACATATATCTGTAGTGTTTAGTTGTGTCTCTACAAAGCTCCAAGTCTCATTTCTCTTTGATGCTTCTTTCCTTTGTTATCAGCATGTGTCATTTCTGAGAAGTTTTCCTGACACCCAAGATAAAATGGTGACGGGGAGGGAGCTCAGCACACAGCGTATCTACTCGCAACACAACTCTGTATGTTCCTTTGTTCCTGTGCAGTGTGTGGAAGTGGGGGCTTTCAGAGTTTACAAGAGCTCTAACTGCAACTCCCACTCCCTCCTCTGTGAAACTGGCAGACTAAGAAGGATTTTATTTACATTCAGCCCTTTTGGAAGAATATAGCAAAGAGAAGACTGAAGATAAACAAGTAAAACACAATGCATAATTGAATTTTTTTGTAAAATATAAAAGATGATGTTACACCAAGTAAATGATACCAAACATGTCACGCTTTAAAATTGCGCACGCCCCTGCAACATTGGCAAATGGCGTAAATTTTACTATTCATAGTAAAGCTTTAAAAGCCTTGACAGGTTACCACTTTAGATTTACAAAAGATGTCTAGTCCTAGAATTATTGCTCATGATCTGATGATTGCAGCGATACCTCACATGTGTGGGATGATCGCTGTTTGCACGTGTGCTGGACCGATATTTGCGTTTGCCTTTGTGTGCGAGCACAGGGAGGCAGGGGCACTTGAACTTTTTTTAATTATTCATTTTTTTTTATTGTTAATTTATACACTGTCACGCTAATTTTTTTTTTTTAAATTGCTGTCACAAGGAATGTAAAAATCCCCTGTGACAGCAATATATATTTAACAGGTATTTTTATGGAAGGATCTGATGTCTGAGACCCCAAATCCCTCCTCTGCGCTTAAAAGCATTCAAAACACAAAGATTTGTTAGGCCATCGTTTCCGGCTTACAAAAAAGGGGAGCTGGTCAAAGTTGATTCCAGCTTTGTTTGGCTGTCTGGCCAGTTGGAGGATGCGCCGGCTGGTCGCTCAGGACTCCCAGTGGGATGGGAGATCCCAACAATGGCGAAAGGGGGGGGGGGGAGGGGGCGTCTCCTCCTGCTGCTTGTAGAAGCAATCAAGCAGCTAGTTACCACTCTGATAGCTAGTAAAAAAGAGCCGACCACTGGCTATAAAAAAAAAAAAACTGTATCAGGCATCACTCCTGTACAACCACTGAAAGTCCAGTGACATACAGGTATGCCGCTGGTCTGGAGTTTGTTAAAAAAAAAAAAAGTTGGATGCCTTTCTACATGCACAAAATATAACTGGATACTAATATTTAGAGGTAATAACACCAGGGGTAGTTGATCCAGGGAATATCCAATTGCCTCTGGGGGAAGGAATTTTCCCCTACTGGAGCACTTTAGATCATGCTTTATTGTTTTTTTGTTTGTTTTTTTTCTTTGATTTCCTCTAGATCACCTGTGGGTATAGGATTGTATATGTGGTTTTCTATTTGGTATTTTTTTCTATTGAATGAACTAGATGAACTTGTTTATTTTTCAACTTGACTAGCTATGTACTGTAACTATGCAGCTCAAAGCTTATACAATAGCACAGCATACAGCACAAAACACACACAGTGAAATGTATACAAAGCATTGAGTGCAATCAGCAAAAAGACAGAAAACACAAATCAATCAGCAAACACAGAAAATACATAGCACAGAGAGCACACAGCATAATCATACACAGTATACAAGGAACAGAGGGCGCATGTGCCACAATAAAAATCTTTAACATGTCATGCCTGTTGGAAAATAAAAATTGTGTACATATACTGAAGCCGTCCATAGACTGATTGAAATTCGTTAAACAGTAACCGGCTGAGTTTCGATCCATCTATGGGCAGGCTGGTTGTACTGAAATTGATCTATCAATCGACTTTAATACAACCAGCTTGTCTGCCTGTTTTTTTTAGTTTGATTATTGATCAATTGTATTCTGATAGCTGGGAATCCTCCCGCTGTCAGAATACAATAGGGAAGGATTTCTCCATCCACCCTAATTTGTTTGTTTTTTTTTTTCATAGTTACACAATCAGTAAGGTTGAATAAAGACACCAGTCCATCCAGTTCAATGTGTGTATGTATACGGTGCAGCGCTAAACAGTTCAATTAATAATGAATGCTCATTATGTAAAATATGGCAAGATTAATAAAACCATAAAATCCTCATAAGAATAAAGTGACTTGTGACAAAGTGCCAAAAATTCATATATTTTCAGTGACTCTCGTGATCTCATATAGTCCGTCACTGTTAGAGTGACCAGTAGTGGTGATATGATGCTAGAGTAATAGTCCCAATTAAGAGTATGGGAGATCAAATTATCTCCAGTAATAGGTGCTCCATCCAGACTGTCAAATGCAGGTACCCGCTCCCCCTCCCTCCCCAAAGGTCAGCAGTCATCTCTGTACTGTCCGCAGTCTCTGGTCATCCCTGTGCTGTCCGCAGTCTCTGGTCATCCCTGTGCTGTCCGCAGTCTCTGGTCATCCCCTGTACTGTCCGCAGTCTCTGGTCATCTCCTGTACTGTCCGCAGTCTCTGGTCATCCCTGTACTGTCCGCAGTCTCTGGTCATCCCTGTACTGTCCGCAGTCTCTGGTCATCTCCTGTACTGTCCGCAGTCTCTGGTCATCTCCTGTACTGTCCGCAGTCTCTGGTCATCTCCTGTACTGTCCGCAGTCTCTGGTCATCTCCTGTACTGTCCGCAGTCTCTGGTCATCTCCTGTACTGTGTCCGCAGTCTCTGGTCATCCCTGTACTGTGTCCGCAGTCTCTGGTCATCTCCTGTACTGTGTCCGCAGTCTATGGTCATCCCTGTACTGTGTCCGCAGTCTCTGGTCATCCCTGTACTGTGTACGCAGTCTCTGGTCATCCCTGTACTGTCCGCAGTCTCTGGTCATCCCTGTACTGTGTCCGCAGTCTCTGGTCATCCCTGTACTGTCTGTGTCCGCAGTCTCTGGTCATCCCTGTACTGTCCGCAGTCTCTGGTCATCCCTGTACTGTCCGCAGTCTCTGGTCATCCCTGTACTGTCCGCAGTCACTGGTCATCCCTGTACTATGTCCGCAGTCTCTGGTCATCCCTGTACTGTCCGCAGTCTCTGGTCATCTCCTGTACTTTCCGCAGTCTCTGGTCATCCCTGTACTGTCCGCAGTCACTGGTCATCCCTGTACTGTGTCCGCAGTCTCTGGTCATCTCCTGTACTGTGTCCGCAGTCTTTGGTCATCCCTGTACTGTCCGCAGTCTCTGGTCATCCCTGTACTGTCCGCAGTCTCTGGTCATCTCCTGTACTGTCCGCAGTCTCTGGTCATCCCTGTACTGTGTCCGCAGTCTCTGGTCATCTCCTGTACTGTGTCCGCAGTCTCTGGTCATCTCCTGTACTGTGTCCGCAGTCTCTGGTCATCCCTGTACTGTCCGCAGTCTCTGGTCATCTCCTGTACTGTGTCGCAGTCTCTGGTCATCCCTGTACTGTGTCCGCAGTCTCTGGTCATCCCTGTACTGTCCGCAGTCTCTGGTCATCCCTGTACTGTCCGCAGTCTCTGGTCATCCCTGTACTGTCCGCAGTCTCTGGTCATCCCTGTACTGTGTCTGCAGTCTCTGGTCATCCCTGTACTGTGTCTGCAGTCTCTGGTCATCCCTGTACTGTGTCTGCAGTCTCTGGTCATCCCTGTACTGTGTCCACAGTCTCTGGTCATCCCTGTACTGTCCGCAGTCTCTGGTCATCCCTGTACTGTCCGCAGTCTCTGGTCATCTCCTGTACTGTTAATTAGTTTGCACTACTGTACGAGTTGTTTTTTCTAAACCAAAAGCTCGATATTCAGGTTTCATTGCAGTGTTGGCACTTTGAAAGAAATAAGTTGGTTTTGGGTTGCAGTTTGGGCACTCGGGCTCAAAAAGGTTCGCCATCACTGGTGTAGGGTATTGTAAACAGCTCCAAAAACCACCCACTTCCAGTTGGACAATCAGGTGATATTGATTCGATCTAGTTAGCAGCATAGCTTGAATGGGATCCGTATCCTTACTAGTGCCCCACCCAGAGAAATGCTGTAGCTGGGTTGCTATAAAATACAGTTTGGCAGATGGGACTGCCAGTTATATACCATCCTTAGGCAGCTGTAAAATGGGCAATCAAATTCTTTGTTGTTTCCCCTTCCAAATCAGATTGTGATAAAGAGAGTCAATTTGTTTAGACCACTTTTGTGTTATCCATATCAGTGAATTGTGTAAAATATACAACAGCTGGAGAGCCCAGATCATTTTAATGAGGTCTGTTCAACCCACAATGGACAATGGGAGTTTACACCATACCATGCTCTTAGTTTTACATTTCTTCAATAATAAATGCAGGTTATGTTGCAAATAATCTTGTACCCAGGGGCGGACTGACAACTCATGGGGCCCCCGGGCAGTAGGGGATTATGGGGCCCCTGTGTCCTTGCCCACACTCAAACCACACCCAAAAAAGGCTATGAAAGGTAACAGGGGCATCTCATGGGGCCCCCTACTGACCCCGGGCCCTCGGGCAATGCCCGAGTGCTCGAATGGTCAGTCCACCCCTGCTTGTACCCTTGGGTGAACCCAGACTTCTAGATATTTAAAGGCCAAGACAATTTTTATCTGTTGGGCAACTGGTGGGAGCTCCACATGCAGGCCATCTAGGGGGAGAAGTACTGACTTGTCCCAGTTAATGTGAAAAATTATCCAAACATAGTGATGGTAGATATAAGGGAAGAAAAGGACCCGTCAGTATCTCCCAAAAAGAGCAGGGCATCATCTGCATAAAGAGCCACCTTATCTCCAAATTTCCCCTTCTAAAATTGACTGTGGTGTTCGATTGCCTAATGGCAGTTGCTAGCAGCTCTATCACCAGGGCAAATAGAAGAGGGGATAGGGGACACCCCTGGCGAGTTCCCCTGAACAGGGGAAAGGAATTGGACTATGAACCATTAATAGGCACAGTGGCTCTCGGGCCAGAGTATAAAAGTTGCACCCAGCTAATAAAGCTGTCTCCCAAGCCAAATAGTCTTAATGCCTTCCATAGGTAGGGACACGCAAAGCTATTAAACTCTTTGGCCCTACAACCCATATTATCAGAGGGCATTTGTTGGTTTAAAAATAATCTACTGATATTAACAGCAGTTGAACTGGTGGGTATAAATCTCAATTGGTCAGGATGGACCAGGCATTGTATAAACTTTACCCAAGTGATTAGCCAGTATTTTTGTGAGAATCTTAATGTCTAAATTCAGAGAAGAAATGGGACAGTAGGATTCAGGGAGCAAACAATCTTTTCCAGGTTTCGGAAGCACAGTGATACCCACCACATTCATACACACTGGCAGACATTGGAGGTCGCAAGCTGAGCTCAATACTTCCAATAGTTCTAGTAATAACATGTACTTGAAGCTTTTATAAGTTTCAGAAGGTAAGCCGTCTAATCCCGGGACCTTGTTGTTAGGGGTCTTGGTTACTGCTTTGTCCAATTCTTCTAGTGTAATGGGGGAGTTCAGGAACTTCCTATCAGAATCAGTTAAGCGAGGAAGCTTGAGGGCATCTAGAAATTCAGTTAATAAATATGATGTGTATTGTACCTTACTGCAATACAAATCTTTGTAAAAAGAGTGAAAAGCTCCTATAATTTCTGTCAGATCCTGTGTAAGCACCCCAGGGGCAGTATTAATGGAAGCAATATAGTTAGACAGGGATTGTGATCTAGCAATAACCACCAGTAAGTGGCCAGTGTTTTCACCATCAGCAAAGTATTGACATTTGGTACTGTCTGCCTTGTCATACAACTGTTTCTTATAAACCATTTGAGCATCCATCCTTCAACTGTTTCTTATAAACCATTTGAGCATCAGTAAACCGCTTCAGTTATATGTACCTCATACGCCAAAAAATTCTCCCAGTCCCTGCTAGCTTTCCTAAACACACTAATATCTTTAATCTTTAATCAGCAGCCCTCTCAAGTACGCTTTCATGGTATCCCCACACACCAAGTGGGGAGGCTGTCCCTTTATTAAGTCACAAAAATTCAGTAAGATATCCTGGTATAGCATCACCCCTCAGGAGCACCTGAAACCAGAAAGGACTGACTCTTCAATAAGTATGATTAGATGAATGGGAAATTTAGAGTTTAAGTACTAGGGGGGAGTAGTCTGATAATCCCCTACGTCGGTAAGAAATATCAATGACGTGGGGTATGATAAGGTCAGACCCCAGGGCTAAATCTATTCAGAAAGAAGACTGGTATGTGCTAGAACAGCATGAATATAGAAGGGCTGTGAGGTTAGGCAGCCTCCAAATATCCCTAAGGCCCAGTTCAGTAAATTGGCGATAAAAAGGCGTCTCAGTTTGTGCTTCCGCTGGGCTACAATCCACACAAGAATTACACGCAGAATTAAAGTCCCCTACTACCAGAAAGATAATCCCTGGGTTATTGGCCAACAAAGTAGCCATCACCTTGAGGAAATCACTACTGTAGTGGTGTGGTACATAAACATTTCCTAGTAGACATTAAAAATGATCAAAACAAGCTAAAAAAAATATATCACCCAGTGGGATCTATGGTCGCTTGTCAACAGGAAAAATGCACCTTAGCCGAGATTAGAATACTGACTCCTCTAGCATAAGATGAGTAAACAGAATGATACGGGAAAAGTACAGGAAAAGTACAGGAATTTGATGATTGAGTAGAATCTGGAGTGAGATGCATTTCCTGTAGACATGCAATGGAAGTATCATAGTCAGAAAGTTAAAAATTGTTGTGCGTTTAACAGAGCCCTTCAAACCCCTAATATTCCAGGAGGTAATTCTAAGTCCTGCAGCCATGGGAGAGGGGGGAGGCCAAAAATTATGATCAAGAAGGACACAGAAGGGAGGTCATCTGCCCCTCTGTACAAAGCAAAAAAGCAAGAAAAAAACAAACAGTCAGCAGTTAAAGCTGTGAGGTAGATATTGAAGAACAATGGTGGAGCTGACATTATTTATTACAGGTACTTATATAGCGCCATCAATTTTATGCAGCGCTTTACATACATATATTATACATTCATATGAGTCCTTAACCCTCAAGAAGTGTACAATTTAAGGTCCCTAACTCACATTCATACGTATACTATGGCCAATTTTATACAGGAGCCAAATAACCTACCAGCATGTCTTGGGATGTAGGAGGAAACTGGAGGAAACCCACCCAGGCACAGGGAGTACATGAAAACTCTAGGCAGGTGGTGCTGTGGTTGGCATTCAAACCGATGACCCTAGTACTGCCAGGAGAAAGTGCTAACCATTTAGTCACTGTGCTGCATCTAGCAGGGCTTGGCTGAATGGTCTGCATAGGTGGATAGAATGTACACCCGTCATCTGAGCAGGACTGAAAAGGCAACAGTTAAAACATAAAAAGAAAAAAGCCCAAATCAGTGGGCCAGAACAGCTGTCCAATTCTGCCGGATCAATCTTGGGGGAAGAAAAATACTCCAAAGCCACATGTCAGCAGGATAACATTATAAGAATAAGTAATATAGCTTAAGCAGTGTGACATCTTGACAGAAGGTGCCGCCTTTAGCAACGGTATGAAGATACAGCAATTTTAGTAGGCTGTTAGGAGTGGTAGATAGTCATGGTGGAGAGCAGGCTCTGGAGAAGTACTGTTCATTACGATCCAGCCAGTGGGCTGTGCTCTTGGGAGCATCAAAAAAGTGGGTTTCCCCCTTCGCCACCACTTAGCTGGATACAGTATTGCATAGTGGACGTGAAGGGCTCAAAGCCTGCATTTCACATCATCATATTGGGCTCTCAGCTTCCAGACT